TCACTGCACGGAGGGTGAGGGTGGAAGGCACGTTAAGCCGTTGATCCGGGCTGCATCTGCAGACGTTAGCACCCACCTATCTGCACTGGGCCTGCGTGGTGGGTCATGGCCTAATCCTCCTATTCCACCTCATAGGGAAGGCCTGTGCCCCAGCAGTGGGGATATGAAACAGGCTGATGATAATGACTATTACCCATAAACAGAAGCAGCGGTTCCGCAGCCAATACCCAATAGCTGAATCGTCTAACCCTGACGAAGAACTGGCGTCAGTGAAGACTGGCCCCGTGATGACCGAAGTGAAGGGGAACTACCAGCTGTGTCTGCAGATGCCGGACATTATAGCACCGAACCTGACCAATTGCTCCATTATAGATGTGGAGTATACTCTCCAGGTGGGTGAACAATATCTGTCTATACTTAAATTATAAATGACAGCATCTGTCCTCACGCTTAAATCACTAAAACGATTGAATTGAAATTTGGTATTAATCGTTTTTTTTTGTTCATAATTTTTGAGGCAAACGGCCTCGTCCACCGCGGCCGTCACCGAGACGTCAATGAGAACGATTTTTTCTGTACTACAAACATGAAGACATTTCTCGCCGCTTGCTACCTAGAAAATGAAGATACATATAAACATCTCTACATCTTTAACTTTTTAGTCTTCATTCAACATGCATATAAAAGAGTCTACTTATGTCTAGGCTGTATGGATTTATATCCAAAACTGTTAAATGTATAAATAATTATTATGATTATTTCTGTATATCAAGATGAGGTGACGGGCTTGCGGTCGTGAAGCGGCTATTAGTAAATGTTTGTGTCGCTACAACGGCGCCTTCATCTTGTTCAAATAAAAATAAGACAACATCATCATCAGCTTAATAATGCCCCCACTGCTAGGGTGTTTGGGCCATGACCCACCACGCGGGCCCAGTGGGGATTGGTGGATGCTAACAGCTGCAGATGCAGATTTTTGGTCACCCATCCAATAACGATCGCAACCGAACGCGATAACCACTTGCGTCATCGAGCTCCTCAGGCAACATACAATGTAAATAAAAGGGTCAGATTTCGCTATGAAAATGCGAGCAATCAGTATGTTTATGCAGATTAGCCTGTACTCATACGTACGATATATCATACGTTATCATAAAGTGATCGAGTACAAACAATGGTTGTCTACACTGATATACGGTGGGGCAATACGCGTTCCGGTGACGGGGGCGGTGAACAAACGCCCTGAGGTTTCGGGTCCCTTACTGGCTCCGTGTGGTCACAATACAGTCTCAAAGTTAATAAATAAACAGATAATAAATTGCGTTTAATATCCGTTCAAAAAGTGTTGGATGTTAAATTGTGTCCATGAAAACAATTTAAATAAATACATATTACCTTGTCATGTTTTAATTGTAGGTGACCGTTAAGTTGTCGGGCTTACACAGTGAACTCATCGTCAGTTCCCCGTTCTTCATCGGGCTGAAGCCTTTCAGCGACTTCGGGAAAGGCCCCTATGTTCACCCTATGGCGCACAGCCTACCATCTGGTCCTATTCCAGACTATGTTCATTCTCAAACAACTAACAACCCTGTTCAAAGAAGTGAAATAGGTTTTGTGGAATCTATACCCTCACCTGCAATTTTAAACCAGAGCTTTGTGTCCCAACAACCCAATTAATCCCAATACCCTGGAACTGGATATAATTATAATCAATCGGGTTATTCTCACCCTAATTACCGGTTTCTGGTTATCCTAATCAACCGGTTTCTGGTTATTCTAATCCACCGGTTCCTGGCTCTCCTACTCAACCGGTTTCTGGCTATCCTCATCAACCAGTATCTGGGTATCCTATCCAACCGGTTACTCTTTATCCTGGCAACTATCCTGTTAGGAGTCCTAATTCCAGTGCATATTCACCTTCCGCACCATAGATATAATGTGTTTAATTATTATTTATTATGAAATTGAGGATTCTGCAATTAACAAACACAGAATACCAGATTGTGCCCTTGTAGGTAAAACCTACATTCTTCTTTATATACATCCAGAGGAAGCATTTGAAAATTCCACATGGAAATACTCCTTCTTTTTAGTATATTAAGTTTAGTTTTATTTAGTTATATTAAGGATACTGAAAATGCTTAGTAACTTTTCAATCATTTAGATAACTTTTTTAAAATTATATAGTTATGTCTTTAATTATTTACTCTCTAGACAGAGCGTCGCTTTGTAGACACTGCGATAAAAATGACCAGATTATTTAAATTTGTTTGTGGGACACGCAAAATAAAACACGAATCTTAGTTATATAGTATGTCCATGGGTACGAGACTGAGGCCCGTATTACAGAATGACAACTAAGTGTTGATCTTTACTTGAATACAGTTAGAAAGGGATATCGCTATGTGCTATATATAGCGACATCCCTTTCTAACTATGCTCAAGACTAGATCAATCACTGAGAATCTTTCTATAATATGGACTTTTTTAGAGTCCAGTTTGGGCTGATATTTTTTGCAACGTCATCTGCGCTGCCATGCTCTATCTAGGAGTAAATAAATCAAAGAGTTATGTCTATCTCAAAATACCTTGTCAACTTTTCTATTCTTAAACCCCTGTTGATAATGTTGCTAAAATTTCAAACATATTCAGTAAGTTCATTGTGGCTAGCCAAATTAATAATCACATTTTAATGAAACACTTAAAATATATGTTTAAGATATATAGTGCAGTCATTTGGTAGTTTTACCTGGAAAGTTTTCCGGGAGTTTTGAAAATTGGTAATTTTATAGATTTTGAGGTGCTCTTTCCGAATTTCGACTTTGCCACCTCGTTTTGCCGCTCGCGCCGCCATATTGAAAAAATGGCGCCTAAAAGCAGTTTTTTGACAATATCTCCTTTCCATTTCACGATAAAAACAGTTATTACAAAATGAAACTAGAGACAATTGCCTACAATTTATGTATCTACCTTTTTTTTCATAAAGTCAGTAGTTTTGGCGTACGAGCGCCGGAAAGTGTACTCCAACGCGCGCTTTGGTCATTACTCATTATTCATGCAACCTGTGGCATTTAATTTCAACTCATTATATTTGTGAGTTAGAAAATTAATATAAATCTAAACTATACTGACTATAGATATTATATTATACTATAATAGACCCATGATGTAGATGAAATACCAGTCTGAGACGTTTCGATTGGTACTACAGACGATGAATTTGCAACACCTGGTCCATCGAGAACAACAAAGCGAAGGAGAATACGCTAAATTTTAGCACATTGAATTGCATGTGGATAAGGCCTATTGGGGATACCACTTTAAAAAAAACGCGCCACTTACTCTAACTCAAGGTGGTGTGGAAATGAGTTTTTGGCCAAAATGCGGGATGGAGTACACTTTACGGCGCTCGTACGCCAAAACTATTGACTTTATGAAAAAAAGGTAGATACATAAACTGTTTTTATCGTAAAATGAGTTGGAAAGGAGATATTGTCAAAAAACTGCTTTTAGGTGCCATTTTTCCAATATGGCGGCGCGAGCGGCAAAAATACGAGGTGGCAAAGTCTAAATTCGGAAAGAACACCTCAAAATTTATAAAATTACCAATTTTCAAAACTCCCGGAAAACTTTCCAGGTAACCACTATATTTCTTACCAAATGACTGTACTAATAGATGGAACACGAAGAATTAGACCAAAGGTCAGGTGTAAAATGTAGAGTTCGAATCATATTATACTTTTTTTTTGTTTTGTTATAATGACTGTTACATTATTAAAAGTTGTATTTAATTGTCACTATTATTGTTAACTTTTTAAATGTTACCAAATATGATAAGAATTAGATTTTGAACCAACTTAGTCATAGTATTATAGACACTTGTAATAAGCAAGAAAAATAATATTTAGACTATTTGAAAGCATTTTCAGTTATAAAGAATAATTTAATTTTTTTTGGTACCTATACAATAAAAATGTACCGAATTGGTAAGCTGCTACCAATTTCATGTTATACAAACCATGATGTAATCATGATATGTAATTAAGTTGGTATTATACGAGTATTAACGTTTACGTAGTAAATTTATTCTTATGTGTAAATAAATTTATCTAGGTACCTCGGAGACGGTTCTAACGATTTATATAAAATTTTGTATAAATATATATTTTTCAGATTACCAATGTATGTAATTAAATACGCATACTGTATGTGTGCACACACAGTACAAAACTCTTAGAGCCTGCGCTGCGCGTGCTCTAAATTGAACAAGTTGTTAGTGAACAATTAACGGTGCTTTCATCACAAATATATATATTTATTTAAGTGACTACCTCAACATAATACAAATAAGTAATTGTTATTTTTGTAATCTCTCTTGAGTAATTTATAAATTATTATTTTTTATATTTGGCAATTATTATATCATAGTAATCTATTTGTCGATGACTAATGTAATGATGAATTACATACGTTTATAAAAAAAATGCTTTTTACTGTTACCAAATAATTCATTGCAGGTGAGCATGCGAAGTTACTCAGAGTGCGCCCGTATAATTAATTTTAGTGCAGACTCTTAGGGCGCGTTTACATGACACAGATTGTCACAGCAGCGTGGCGGCCGCGTGGTCATCGCCTGTTGGCCCCGCCACTGCTAACTCGATTCATTTGCAGTTGATCTTGATCGCAGATTATTTCCGAATGGATGTTAAAACATTTGATACATCCTTTCATTCACATCACACAAAACACTTCATTTGATGTTAAAACATTCGAGTGATCGAGGAGCGGTCGCCTCGCGATCGCCGCGCAGTTAGTTACTCACAGAGAATTTCGACGTTAAGTCTTAGTAGTAGTAGTCGTAGTTAATAAAACATAAATTTGCTATGGCTGAACAGTTATTACGCGGCCACCGCAAGAAATTTATCCCGTCGTCTAACTGCAGCCTTAGAAATCGTTTCCTAGGTAAATCATAATGATTATAAAAACACCAGAAGTAGTGTGTAGTTTATTCATGCACAAAAGATGAACACGAATACTGTTTAAATCGTTTATATATTTCAATAAAAATACATAAAATATTTATCGTAAAAATTAAATTTCATACTTAAAGCATCAATCCGTTTTCGTTTCATAAAATTTCAACAATGACAAAACCTGTCGCATTTTATTCTTAACCGGTTATAATAAGCATTTTTTTAAAGTATTTATAAACACAAAAAATAAAACACAATATTTAAATATTTGTAAAAAGTCATTTCAACACAGAACCTGTTTTATTTATTTTGCGCAAATCCTGAACAGTCAGTTTTAAGTAAGAAAAAAAAGTCTGTCTTATTTCTCTAGAAAATTTGAGAAATAATCTTATTTTTAAATTAGTTAACAAGATACTGACGAGGCGGAAGATTAAACATTGTAGGAGAAAACTCCCATAGTTTAACACTCCGTTTACTAATTTGCATTGAAATCTCGTTACATTTTTTTTTGTGGTCTAGTAGCAATAACCTATTTAGTGAGGTAGTGAGTTTCTTTCATAGTTTCTTTTACCATAGTATACAGTCTTGTAAAGTGCAAATATGAAATTTTATAAAGTCACAAATTCAACTTTACCCTCTAAGTAATTAAGATCACGTTACAGACAGTTTTTGACGTGAGAATAGACCCACCATTTAAAACTACATTTAATTATATTTCATTAGGTTTAAATGTGATGTGCGTTTACCATGGGCAGTACATGACAGTCTGTCAGCTTTGTCGTTCCCTAAACATGTATATAATTATGTAAAAGTAATTAACATTTAAATGCATTATAGAAACAAACACTCAAAGGCGTCATTAAAAGGATTGTCAAAGTATTGTACTGTCGAGAATAAAGTGACAGCTTTTAGTTTGATAAGTAATTGACGTCTCTGAGTGCGGTCGTAAATCGTTAATATAAAAAACATAGTTTTTGAGGCACTTATATAAAATGACTTCTTTGCTTAATTGTAAGACACTCTGAAACTTGAGAGTCAACAGTGTATTATATACCAAGTTAAGATCTAATCTAAACTATATAGTTTCGTTAGCTTTCAAAAAGAGCTAAAACACATGAGTTTTACTCATGTGGCTAAAATGTTAGACATTTTGCTCCGTGTTTTGTAGATAATTTAATGTCAACTCATAAGTTCATTAACTCGACATTATTTCTACAAGGAGTTTGACCGATTTTTCGACAACACTTAAAAGTACATTTAGCTTACGAGTTCACCCTTATATATTATTATAAAAAGAACATTACGAAAACAAAGCATAGAAGCATCTCTCTTATACGACTAGGCAAATTTAAATTTATCTTAATGTACTAACAATTATGGAAGAAATATAAATACAATTATAAAATATTATACCTTTTTTATATTTAATACAATCAAAGCTAATATTTAACCCGATTCTGCCATGTATTTAAAATTCTAATTAAATCCCAGTCACGTTCCCAAAGTCAGCAGTCTATAAAAGCAAGCATTGGAATAAGTAGAACAAAAAATTGGTCAATTTATAATTACAATGCAATAGCTGCATTATGTTTAATAAGTTGGAAAATTTAATGATGGATATAGGAAAGCTATCATCAATCATCATCAAAAGCCTATCTTAGTCCACTACTGGACATGGGCCTCTCCAAATGCATACCACTCAGATCGATCTTGGGCTACTCTCATCCAGCTCCTGCCAGCCACCTTGCGCAAGTCGTCATTCCATCGCGCCCGAGGACGTCTTACATTACCGTTTGCCTAGACGTGGTCTCCACTCCAGAACACATCTACCCCAACGGTTACCGGTTCTTCGGCAAATATGGGCAGCCCACTGCCACTCCAACTTGCTAATCCTAAAGCTATAAAATGATATAACTATAGAAACAATATATTTTATATTTAATCATAGTCTGAGTCACAATAAATAAACAAAAGGCAGAATCGGATGTCAACTGCTTGTAAGGGTACAGGTGCAAAACCAGGAATGTCACTAAAATGCAAAAAGTTAATTTTTGGTGGCACTTTCCCGCGTATTTTTTTTGGCATTACACAAAAAGCGTTAAAACGCGTATAGTCAGATGTCTCAAAACTGTATACAGGAACAAAACAGGGAAGGTCCATAATGTAAGAAGGAATGTCCAAGCTGTCAAAATACTTTGAGGTTATGTCGTGTGTTTATTTGGAACGTCTGTGTATAAATCATACATTTCGAAGAGATAGTTGTTTTTTTTGGTGTAGTAAAATGAGTGATAGTGACGAAGAAGGCTCAGCTTTCCATTAGTTGTGGTTGAGTAGCAAGCTGAAATTTTTGTCACGGAAAGTATTAATTATAAGAAATATGTACACGAAATCTTTTTATACGGAAAGAAATGGAACTCGAGAAAAAAAAATGAAAATTAATATTTTTGTAGGTTAAGAGTCAATTTTGACAGCTATTTTGATCAGTGCTGCCATTTTTTTCATGCAAAAATAACGTGTTTCTCGTTGTCTGTGGTAAAAAATATGTTTATTATGTTGGTACTATTGTCTTAATGACAGATGTCCCGCTATTTTGTGTTTGTTTTGCGATCTGTCAGTCAGTCTTTGTGTTCGTCGCAGTTGCGAGCGTTTTCGTACTCCTGTTGATATTTGCATCGTCTGACTACCATGGCGTCCTCAAAGCCCTCGGCCTCGAGTTCTACTGTCCCTTCGCCTGAAGAGTCGAGTGTAGTGCGAATTTTGTACTTTATTGAGTCGCTTGTGTCCAACTCCTTTTCAGTCTTTGCGTGTGCAAGTGTTGGACTCTAATGAGCCACTTGGGCGCTCCGTCGGTGAAATGGAACCCATTGCTGGGTGCTCCTCGTCAGTGAATCGTGTGCAATGCGATTAGCCCATTGCTGAGTGTTCTACCATCGCTGATATTGCTCCAGTTGGATTATACGAGTCCTCAGGTAAAAAATATATTTGCTTTTATTTACTTGGTAAATAAAAAATAGTATGGGCTTAGAAAAAAAGGTAAATGTGGCTTTAGAACAATCTTTAATTCTTAATTATCTGATTTTCTATGAAACTACACTGTAATAATAATCAATTTTTGATTTTTGCTCTATCTTTTCAAGTATTGTATTTATATTCATTTCAGATGAGGATTCAGCTCAACCGCAGCAATCTGGGTCTTCTGAAAGGCGAATCCACTTATACTCAGAAAAAGTTCGTTTACAGTGGAACTTGCGGAAAATTCACCTAACCTTTGTTACGCCTGATGATTGTATTCGGTTTGCGGAGGAAAATGGACTTTTGCATTGTGAGAAAATGTGTGGTCACAACAGGAGTCCAATGAAATTGGTACGAATTTCCCAAAATGTTGGAAAATTTAGGTGTTACAAATACAACTGTCGGGAGTAAAACATAGCCAGGCTCTAGGAACCTGGTTTGAACAAGCACGGTTACCCATAACAACGATGTTTGAACTGATGTATTTGTTTGCACACAATGCAACATATAAAGGTGTGCGACGTGAGACTATGAATTTTGAGAAAAATACAGTCTTATCATTCAGGACAATAGCTGATTGGTTCAGTTATTGTCGAGAAGCAATTTTTGTATATGAAATGGAAAAAGAAGAAACACCAATGATCGGTGGCCCTGGCAAAATCGCCAAATTGACGAATCAATGTTTGGAAAACGTAAATGAAACAGAGGACGTCATATTGAGGTCCACTGGGTCATTGGTATGGTGGAGGATGGCAGTGACGATTTACGGATTGAACTTTGTCCCAATAATGAGCGGTCAGCGGAGATATTAATACCCATTATCAAAAAACATGTTCGGGAGGTTATCCATACATAGTTGTGGAGAGCATACGATACGATTGCCTTCCCGAACATGGGTATACCCATCACAGAGTAAACCACAGTGAACCAGAAAACCGATTTATTGCTTCCGATGGAACACATACTCAGAGGATAGAGAGCCATGGGCGAGTCCTCAAAAGAAAATTTATCATATGTAATTTTAAAGGCGACTGCTGATTGGGTAGTCGAGGCATTATGGAAAATAAGAATTCAAATTCAACCTAAGGACCTTTTTACGGAGTTAATAAATATTTTACGTTATGTATATAAAATATACAAAGTAAGAAAATAAACTTGTTTTATTTAAAACCTATAAAAACATAGCCGCAAAGGGGGGGGAGGGAAGGCTAGAGAGGATACCATAAGAGTCATAAAATCATGTATCATATGAAACTTACAGAACCATCTTTAATACTGAATTTAATATATCATTTGGCTAGCCAAGGACTGATACTTGCAGTGCTTGTGATGAATTTACAATAAAAGCAAAGGCATTAGGAGCTGAAGGAAATACTGTTGAACTTAATCGGATAAGTATTCTTAACAATTTGCATAAGAAACAATTCATGATCGCAAGAAGAATGCAAGAATGAAGAGCAAAAGAGATGTGGAATTTCAAGTAATTGCCTTGGACTACCAGAAAAATGTCTCCCTGCCAAACATCACCACAAACGATTTGTATTACAAGCATCACTTATCAATGTAATCTTTAAATGTCCATGCATTGGGAGATGCAAGCGGCTTCTTTTATACCTATCCTGAAACCTGTGGACGCAAGGTATCAGGTGAAGTGGTTTCATTTCTGTTTCATTATTTGACTAACCACCTGGATAGTCGTATTAAGCATTTAGAAATATATTGTGATTCAGCAGGTGGATAGAATAAGAACTACACAGTCATTTTGTTGTCCATAAAATGAAACTTTTGGATTCCATCAAAATTACATACCCAATCCGAAGATATTCATACTTAGAATGCGACAAAAATATGTGCCTTATCAATCTAAAAACCCACATGGAAGTTCCATACCAGTGGTATGATTTGCTGAGAGTTAGTACCCCAAAGACCCCAAACCCTTTGAGGTGATTGAGGTAGGAATAGGCGAACTAACAGAAACTTTTCCGATTTTTTTCAAAATCAATATCTTTAAAAATGCTCATTTCCTGTGCAGTCCCAAAAAGAATTGATGTGTGTAAGAGAACACCCTAGAGTTATTCTACACAGAAGTAATTATAATGGTATATGGGAGAAATCACCCATAGTGGCAAAAAAGGGAACTGGATCAGACACATCAAATGAATTTGAATTGCCAAAATTGTCCTATAACAGTTTTATATCTATTAATGCAGACAAGTACAAGGACTTAATGGATTTAAAAAGATTTTGTTCTCAGGGGCCTCAATCTTACTATGAAAGCATTCCTCATGTATACTCGTAATTAGTAAAAAAAATATTAAGTTGGACATTCCTTCTATGGAACGCAGTGGACATTACCAGTTTTTGTGTTCATGTTCCAAAAGGGAATTATTTTATTTTTCAATTATTAAGAAATATATATTTTATGTTCCTATTAGCAATTTATTATTCTAAGTGACACTTAAGAATGCTCGCAGCTTTGAAAAAATTAAAATGTTAATTACATAACTCTTTGTTTTTGTGACATTTCTTGATTTGCCCCTGTACCCTTCGTATTTATTTAACATTTTTTTTTTCAAAGTAATGGCACTTATTTAGGCACCACAAAGACGGAACGGTCTTATTCTATATAACAATAGTTATTCAATCTAATTGATTTGTAAATATAGGTAAATAGATCTAAAAACATTTATATAAGTAATAAATTGTAGTAAGTTTATAACATGTTGTACATTTATATAATGAACGTGACAAGCTCATTTAAAGTTTTAAGAACCAATGACGTTAGTAGCGTTTCGTCTTCACAAATATTAAGAATAATATATTATAGCATATTAACGGAGTTCTAGACAACTGCAATCAATTATTTTATCAAATAAAATACGTAATTATATAAGTATATGTTTAAATAACCATACAAAGTATTTGTGTTCATGACTCTAATAATTATAGAATAATAGTTTATAGCATATTAACGGAGTTCTAGACAACTCCAATCAATTATTTTATCAAATAAAATACATAATTATATAAGTGTTTGTTTGAATAACCATACAAAGTATTTGTGCTCGTCGTTCAAATGATTATTCCAAAACTATCTTCTTAACTAAATAGATCTCACAATTTTCAAATTTTATACATTCGCTGTGACAATGACTAATGAAAGTACAGAGTTAATTATGTTCTTTAAACATAACTTAGATTAAAAACCTGTTGGAATTATTGTAACAGTTGCCATTTATTTATGTTTGCTATACAGTGTTAAACTTTACAAAGATATCTAGGCTTTTTAAATTTAAAGCTAGGCCTAATTCTTGTTGGGAGGAAACAATTGGCACATGATGTTACCACCCAAAAGCCTACTTCCAACTTATTATTATTTAGATCTTCGATTCGAACAACGAAATAAGTGTTTGATTTGATCAATTATAAAACTTATTATTAACAGGTAACGAATTTTAAAAATTAGTCGCCTTTTCTTATTTCTAATTTACCTCTATAAAAACCCAACAATCCGTTATATTTTATTATTATTCTCGAATATTACGCTATATGACTTGTGTATCTGTACCTCATCAACTCACAGAGTGACTGTATACATGTAATGGAAATATGTATATATCTGCTTGTTAGTTCACGTTTCGCCGTTTTTTAAATATTATATTTATATATTAAATTGACAGAGCTGCCATTTTTTTTTGTTTATATCTTTGTGTTTTTATTTCGATTTATCTGAGTTCAACCATAACAAATGATCAACTAAATCAAAAAAGCGTTTTTTTTCATTAATTAAAATCTTCCTCAGATAATGACGACCTTGTGGGAAGATATACTAAAACCAGCAAGAAAACATAATAAATTGACAGAGCTGCTTTTGGAGTGTCTTAAATTTGGCATATCAGCTTTAGACTTATTTCTTCGTAATGGTAGCAATAATCTTAGTTTTTTTTATAGCCGGTAGGCAAATGACTCTACCCACCTAATGTAAAGTGGTGATAAAGTCTAAGCGCGCAGAGATAGATGGTACAGCAGTTATAAACTGCCACACCAACCATCCTCAACTTGCCGGCCTGCAAAAATGCTTCTGCACGCCTCTCTTAAAGGGACCTCTGATTGTAGGAAGGAGGGAACAAAAAAGTGAATATCTTTAAAGAGGACAATCAAATTGACTGGAATTATTTAAAAGATTTGGCTGCTTCGCTGAATGTAAAATAAATGGTCTACGAGTAGGGCATTTACATAAAAATACGTCTACTGCGCAAGTTTACCTTAACTAGTAAGTACAGACCTAGCGCGGTCGCCATATGTTGAGAAAGATTTAAGTATCAAAGAAAACGAAATTTTAATTAATGAAGAAACTTAAGTACGTCATTCTGTGGTTTCAGATTAAATCAAACATTTACAGGTTTCAGATTACTTCAAATTACTGTGTGTATAATTACCCATTTGTTTGTTATTTATTGTCAGTAGTTTGCTCCTTTTTGTCGTTCATGAACTCCGGATTGTATGGAGAATTGTTCGGCTCGTGTACGAAAGGTTTTTCTGTAACAAAATAATAATTAAGAATTAATCAATGTATGAACTTTATTTTGGTTTGCATATGTTTAAATGTAGTAAGTGAATGGATTTTGTGTTGAGTATGTTTGTGTAATGAGAGTTAATAAGTAATAAGTTTTGATTTACGGAAACTTGAAAATAATATGATACATGAGCTATTTTTTGTTTTATCAATATGTTTATTAATTTTGTATTTTTTTTTTTGTTTTTCACTATTTTTTGTTGGTTTATTGTTATTATTGTTCATATTATTTTATTCCTGAATGAAATGAATAATATTAACTATCTTTATATATATAATTCTTCTGTGAGTGTGTATGTCACTGAACTTCTCTTAAACGACTGGACCGATTTTGATGAAATTTTTTGTGTGTGTTCAAGGGGATCTGAGAATGGTTTAGATTCACAATTTTGTCCGCTGGACAACCCCTATTTTTTTGGGGCGGTACGAAGTTCGCTGGGTCAGCTAGTACTCTATAAAGCAATTTAATGATTAAAGCAGTCGAATATGCCCCTTGTCTGTGTAAATGTCAGATTTCTGCCAACGTCAAAAAACCCCTATCTGTAGAGATGGCAGATTTCTGCGGCGAATTGAGAAAATTATTTTCATATTTCATATTTTTCGGTTTATCATGTTTAGTAATGATTTTTAATTTACACATTAAATATATACATGTTTTTAGATAAACTATTCAGGATCGATTTAAGACATAAATTAAGCCTGGATGTACATGCTGTACAGCAGAACTCGAGTAATAAGATGAAATTGCCCTTTTTTTCACATATGTATCATGTTGGTGTATCGTATCTGCATCGCGTCGCATCGATGTTTATCATGACCGCTAGTATGGACAGATGATACCTGGTATTACCCGGTAATGAACCTTCGCCGTATCTGATACGGCCCGATTCGCACAGATCGCGTATCTTGATACACTTCGTATCTGATACGCGTATCACGATCGGTAGTATAGACGTATTTTGATACTGTATCGCGATACGATACGTGATACACCCCGAACCATACGATATCGGTTTTTCCGCAATCATCAAAGGTCAAGGGTCATCCATAAATTACGTCACACTAATTTCATGATTTTTTTCCCCTCCCCCGTCCTTGTCACAGCTGGTCACATTTGTGAGACTCGCGCCCTCCCTAGTGTGATGTCACATATTTTGCAAATTTACATTTAGAAAATAATGAATGAAAAAAGCGATTCCGAAATCAGTTATATTTCCATTTAAATTATTTTTTAATAATATTCACATTAAATCAAACAATTAATTAAAGAAATTAACAAACAAAAATAAAAAATAAATATTATTACTACAAGTTAATCTTAGAAAAATATTAATAGAAAAAAAACTTCTTGGTTCGCATTTTACCCACCGCGTTTGAATCCGGTCTGAAATCTGGTAGATTTTTTTGCTAGCAATGTTTTCTTAAGATTTAAACAGGTAGCAGTTAATTTGGTTTGTGTATTTTCGGTAACCCATACAGTTTTGGTGGCTTGGGACATGCAGGAATTAGGTAGTTGATGTCAAGATCCAACGTTTCGGAAAGTGATTTGATGAGTTCACTTGTCTTTTTGAGAATCTTGGTAGGTAGCAGTTAATGTTTAAAAATTGAAAATATTATTATAAATACAAGTTTTACTTACTTTCTTCAGTGTCGGGCGTAGTGACGTTGGGAGCGCTGGCGCCAGTGTAAGGGCTTTCAGTTCGCAGCGGCTGTCAAATAACGTTACCTGATTATTGTATTCATCATCATCAACAGCCTACTAATGTCCCCACACTGGGGCATAGGCCTTCCCAATGAATGGCATAGGGAGATTGGGCCATGACCTACCATGCGTGCCCAATGCGGAGTAGTAGGTGCTAACGACTGCAGTTACAGCCGGGACCAACGGCTTAACGTACTTCCGAAGCACGTAGGAGCTTGAGACAGTAAATTTTTGGTCACCCATCTAATGACCGACCACTGCGAAAGTTACTTAACTTCAACGATCGCAGCCGGACGCGCTAACCACCTGCGCCTTCGAGCTCCTCTTATTTATTATTGTATGATTATTGTATTCGATGCGGTTCAACTTTATTGTGTAATAATGACACTAAGATATTGTGTAAGATATACACAGAGTACAGTAAGTAAGGCGTGATTGAATAATAAACATGCTTTTATTTAATAAAATACATTGAATGCAAATTACAAACCAGTTTAAAAAACTGTTAGAAAAAAATAGAAATAAATACTTAGGTATTTTTGAATGAGTATAACGTTATTACAGATACTAAGGTCAGAAAATGTTTTATTATACTATTGATGTACGCTAAAACGTAAGATTATTATTGTGAAAATTTGTCTGTCTGGTACCGCAATGGCACCCCTTTCTAGACTTAAATCGCTGAATCAATTTAGATGAAATTTAATTTATAGATAATTCCAATCCTGTGTAAGGAGATGAAATAGTTTGAACACCAGAAATCATCCTTTTAGAGGTTGAAAAAGTGCGTTTGATAGAAAACTAATTATACACACTGACATAACATTTACAATATTGGGATGAAAAACTCACCGTTATCGGATAAGGCACTGCTCCTGGTGGCAATAGGGGTATACTTGCTTTATTAAAACCCGGGATGCCAGGTTTATCATCAGCTGGGTAAGGCGGGTTATTTCCCGGGTAAGGTGGGTTATTTCCCGGTGGGTAGGGAGGGTTAGTACCCATTTGAGGTGGATTAATTCCGGGGTATGGCGGGTTATTATCCGGCGGGTATGGAGGGTTGTTACCCAGGGGAGGTGGATTATTACCCAAGTGAGGCGGGTTATTCCCCGGGTATGGCGAATTATTGGCCGGATATGGCGCGTTATTACCCGGGTAAGGCGGGTTCCCATGAGGAGAGGGATTTGGTGGAACGTTGGGGTAAGGTGTGTTCTGGGGGAGAGGGTAAGGCGAATTGTGACTAGGGTAAGGAGAAACGTGTGGAGGATTCGGTGAAGGGTAAGGGGAACTATTGGGATAAGGATTGGGCGGGTAAGGAGAGTTTTGTTGGTAGGATTGGTTGGCGTTTAGAGGCTTATTGATCATAGGTTGCGGATAGTTTTGGGGCGACATGTTTGTTTGAGGTATTGGGTTATTGGCAATGGGCGCGTCCATTTGGAAGTTTGTCAGCGGAATAGTGCCGAAGTATATTTGGCAACTGTCTTCGTCGTCGGAGTGGCAACCTTCTGGACATACCTTCACCTATGGGAAAAATTATAAACTATTAAACCTTTACATAGTATGAAAGCATATCGCTCCCGCTGCCTGTACGCTTAAATCTTTTTAACTACGCAACGGACTTTGATGCAATTTTCAGCAATGGATAGAATGATTCAAGAGGAGTTTCATATGTATAATACATGCCGAAGAACTAAAACAATAGTCTTCACCGAAGCGAAGCGAGAGCGGATCACTAGTTATTAATATAATATATTTAAAAATATAACGCCAGCACGCTTTTTTTTTAAACACTTACACCAGCCTAGCCCCAAAGTAAGCACTGAAAAGCTTGTGTTATGGGATGCAAGGATAACGAATAGAATATATCTTTATATATATTTTATCTAAAAATAATGCCATCAACTTGATGGCATTCTCTATGTAGGTGACGTCAGACGTAGCAAAACGGTCATACATAGGCTCGTATTCATTAGACAATATTTTTTCCACCGGGATTCGAACCCAGGACCTTAGAATAAGGGAAGCCTTGAAAACAGGTGTATATCCATCCGGGGAGGTCATCTAAAATAGTATTATACTCTTAGATATTTCAATATTGTTTAAATATTTTTATTGCACAATTAAAATAGTAAGATACATTCAACGAATTGGAAATGACATGGAAGCATTATTCTCTATCTCTAACAAAGGCCACTAAATGCATTAACGGAAAATGCGAAAAAGGTGAGTCAAAGTAGGTATACAGGGTGTAAAAAAACCTATGACAAAGACTAAAACTACGCATTCTATACACTCAAACAAGTAATATTACAAAATATTATACATGGGAAACATTTGTATTTTTCAGTAAAAAAAAATACAATTTTTCTTCCAGTACGCATTTTATAGAGCGGCGCGCTACTGTGGCGCAACGCAAACAATGTGCCCGTGTCTATGTGTGTGCGTGTGTGTAAGTGCGTCGATAAAAAAGTTTCAAAATAACGTTTTTGTAAAAATATTGAAAAAAAAATGTGACTTTGACCTTCAATATCTCCATAACCATAAAGGAGATTGCTCAAATTGGCCCAAATGTACAAAAATATTGACATATACGGTAATTCTTGGCGTAATTTATACTTTATTTTACAGTCATTAGATTTTAACTTTGTTTATTATATTAATTTTTAAAAGGACCTTTAATTTTATCGGTTTAGAAAACATACGAATCATTTTTAATGGCTATGGGTGTAGTAACATTCAGCCAAACACTGATCGAAGTTGTTTATATTTTAACATCAAATCAAATATATTTTGTAAAGATCGATAAAATATAACTTCTTTTTTATTACACTGTGGTATTAATATCCACAACTATATTATCATTTTCACTACATGCAAATATGCTAACACAATTATTATAGATGATAGGCGACCTCATAAAGTCTATTGCCATACATTTTTCGCCAAACACCCCCATAACATATTATAAGGTGTAATACACTAAAAATCTAAAATATGGTTATAATATAAACATAACAAAAATAATTAAGCTTTACTAACTAAATTAACGAGAGTTTAAAAATTCTTTCTAATCTGTGGCTCATTCACCATCATCACACAGTTTCTGTCACAGAGTACCTAATTATAACCGGAAATGCATAGATGATACCTGATTTTAAAAGTTTACCTATGTACCTATTTGCAAACATAACCTCAAAATCATTCAGTGTATATGGTTTATAGAAGTTCTCAGATGTGTCCGTCAATAATATTCGTTTCTACAGTAATTTATATATAATTTCGAATCTAGGAAACAATTTTTCATGATTATTGGTCTTTAGGCCAAACATGTATGGAAGCTGAACAATCTCCTTTCCCAGGTATGGTCCAAAAGAAAAAAATGACCGTCATGATGCGGAACATACGTGGCATTCGGCTTCACGGTAGGACACGTCATTCCTAAACTTTGTTAAACCATTTTTTTTTACATATTTTTCTTTTTTATTTTATAGTCATAATTTAATATTATTTGCATTTTTTTTTGTTTGTAATGAAAAGTGACTTTATGAGTTACCTCATATTGAAGTCATTTTTCAATTTGACGACTCTGTATATAACACAGGGAGAAAAAAACAGCACTTGCTGAGTTTCTTGCCGGTTCTTCTCAGTACAAGGTCTCCCGCTGTAGATTTGCGAACCGATGGCGTAGCTTTTCGACATTCACAAGTGCTTGTAACAGCCTAGACTGAATAAACGATATTGAATTTTGAATTTTTGAATTTCGTTAAAGGTTTTTTTACACCCTGTATAATTTTGTCATAAAAAGGTATAGTTACTTCGAAGTAGTACTGTACGCTTATGAAGGAGCACCCGTTCATGACGTGCACGTCATTCTCGGGCACGTCGAGCTGCAGCTGCCACGCGCGGTCCGTGTGCGGTGGGACCGGGCCCTTCTTGAGCTCTACCACAGTGTGGGTGTCCTCCCGGGTGTCCGGGTTAGTTGAGGCGCGGAACTTTATTTCCTGATGGAGACGAAGGAAAATCGTTAACTATATCAGTCTTTCCTAAACAGTGGCGGCGCTAGACCGCATGTGGACGTCGGCGACATCAAGTTCGCGAGTCCTATTTTACTCCGCAGTAATAAACCGTTCAATTAAGTGAGCCAAATTATAAAATAACGTATGAGTAAACGAGTTTTATTGTTGATTCATAGTGTTGCCAGACAGACGATTCTGAATACCCGTAAAGTATTACTCGCTTCCATCACGCACGTGTTCGAAATTAATGAAAGTCATTATCATCTGCTTAGCTTTTTCCCCGAATTGTTCGGGGTCGGCTACCTAAGGCAGGCCCGGAGTAATGAAAATAAATAGGTAACTTGTAAAATTGTTTGCGAGGCCCCCTCGCCACTGTTCCTAAACAAGGATATAGTGTTTCTTGTAATTTGTTATTTGATGGGTGTGAGTCAGTTTTTGTAACAGTAATATGGTAACTATTTAATGCCGCTTCCTATTCCTATATACAAAATATAAAATTTATTGTTAACCCAAATGATGTAATGGAAGGTGACTTCAGAAGTATCTCGGAAGTCATTTTTCAACTTGCCGACACTGTATTATCAATACAGGGAGAAAAAAGCAGCCCTTGCTGAGTTTCTTGCCGGTTCTTCTCAGTACAAAGTCTCCCGCCGTAGTTTTGCGAACCGATGGCGTAGCTTCTTGACCTTCACAAGTGCTTGGCTTGGGGGCCGATATGTAATTTCATCTAGGACGACTTAATTTAATTTGAAGTTATAATGGTTTTTAAGCGGGGTATGCCAAAAAGGAAAACCAGAAACAAATATTATAGATTTTTTTGTTATAATTACGGGATTGCTGCCATGCTCCTTGTTTTTAGTTTCTGATATTTATTTTAAAAAATGACGAATGTGTGAAAGAGATTCGTAAGTATGTAAACAAAACCAGAATAGAGAGAGAGAGAGGGAACCATTTTATTGACCAATATAACACACACATACATATAATTATAAACAGCTAAAATAGAAACATAGAGAAGGTATAAACATCACAAAAATTGATAAATCTAACAGTTATAATATTGGTCAATCAGGTCCCTGCGTCAGCATAATGCTGCCGCGACATGTAACTAATGAAACTGAAACTAGCAGCCGACATTGTCTTCTAAACTATTAGTGTCTTGGCTGAAATTACATCCACTATTTCTTCGCCCTAAAAAGAAGTTCTGGGGAAAATTTCAGCAATTTCGTATGTGTAGGAGATGAGATACAGCTTTTTAAAATATAAAAAATCATTCCCCCGAGAGAAAATATTTTTTTACAACTTAACTATTAGAGTATCTTGGCTGAAATTACACCCACTATTTCTTCGCCCTAAAAAGAAGTTCTGCGGAAAATTTCAGCAATTTCGTATGTGTAGGAGATGAGATACAGCTTTTTAAAAAATAATAAATCATTTTTAGGTGAGGACATAAAGGTACCTAAACTTAAACTCTTAATGTCATGTTAATTTTTAATTTTATTTGAAATTAGCAATAAAAAAATCTATTTTTAAAAAATATAGGGCCCGGACCCTATTTTCTATGTTTCGTCCCTGTCGGCTGCCAGTTTCAGTTTGATATGTAACTATACGTGTCACGACAACGCTGGTATTCTGACAGGGCCTGTATGGTGCATGGTGTTTCGGTATACAAATTTTATGAAGAACACGAATGTATTTATAATCTGATAAATACATACATACTGCTAAAGTGTAAAAATTTACAGGAAACTAAAAAATAAATAACTATATATATATATATTACAACTACTTAAAAAACCCGTGATAGTAAGAAAATTACATATAATTACAGAGGTACCTAGCTACTGACCTTCTTAACTTTAAACGCGATCTCATCTATCTCCACAGTGCTGCGGTTCTTGCAGCTCACTTCCACGGGCAGGGGCTGGGAAGCGCAGTACCCTCGAACTGGGATCTTGACCAAGGTCTCCGATATGCCTGATGTACAACACCAGCAGCAGTATGTCTGATCGATCTCTATGACTCCTGGGTCCTAACCAATAAAGAAACAAACATATTAACGGTTGGCGATAATGAACAACTGATTTAACGTCCTAGGGGCGTTGCTGGGGCGTTTTTACTCTAAGGCAAGGTAGGCGGGGCTGTAGCCCTCAATAAAGATAACAAAACCAAGGGGAGCGGAGCGCGGGATGCAAATCGTAAGTGGTCCGGCCCGGCTGTAGGGCCAAATGGCCCATTGCGCGGACAGTCGGCAACGGTTGCCGCAACCACACCCGCACTCCTGGCGTGCATTGGAGGCGACTGAGGTCCTCAGAATGTCAGAGGAGTCCCATATACCTTCTTCTCGCTCCCCCGGTGGTTGAACAACCCGTAAGTCATTTCTCAGAAAAAAAACCGAGTGTGATTATGACCACACGACTGAAGTGAATTTTCTTTAGTATGTATATATATATATATATATATATTACATACATATAAATATGTATTATTTTGTACATATAAATATTTCATTTACTAGCTATAATAGAAAGAATATGTGCACACTTTTCATAACGCGTAACGCGTTCGCCAGCTTACTCCCCAAGTGAAGCGTGCGTAAAGAAGTTTCACTTCAAAGAAGTGTCAAATGGCCCATGGGCCGAGGCGGCAGTACTAATGACGGCTGTTAGAACTGCAAAGGGCGGCAGAAGCCATTTAAAGGCATTTATTACTTACCTATATTTTCTTGAAGGTTATTTCTTGATTACATTATCGATATTTTCATACGGAACCCTAAGTTTTTTGGAAAATACTCTATAGCCTATGTTCATCAGAGATAATGTAGGATTCTAAATGTGTAAGAATTTTTCAAATCGGGCTCGTAGTTTCGGAGCTTATTCACTACAAACAAACAATCAAATCTTTTCTCTTTATTATATTAGAATTAGACATTACATTAGAAACCTCCAAACTTATCAGTGTTTCTCTACTAAACTATGCATGCATTATACGTATAAACCGTCCTCTTAAACTCTTAACTATAAAAAAAACCGCATCAAAATACGTTGCGTAGTTTTAAAGATCTAAGCATTCATAGGGACAGACTGACGGTGGATCTGACGCGAAAAAAGCTCGTACAGCAAATTTACCGGCCAAACCAGCCATCCTCACCTAGCCTGCCAGTTGCTTCGTCTCGCCTCTTTTAAGGCTGATTTGACATCTTTAGTAGCGAGTTGAGAAATCGGCCAATTAAGCAGTAAGAATTTAACTGGCATACCAATGTCCGAACGTTAATAAAAGCTTAACTCGCCAGGACCGTAAGTTAACTCGCTACTGTACTTACCGAAGTGTAAATCAGCCTTTAAAGGAAAAGTTGCAGGGGGACGGGCCAAGCATTCCATTTGCGGATTGTTCAGCTGTCGTAACTTGTTTTTTATAGCTAGGTTGGCATACGACTCTACCTCACCCATTGTTAAGTGGTGGCAAAGCCAAGACGCACAAGTAGCTGGTGCAACAGTTATAAACTGCCACACCAACCATCCTAACTATGCCGGCCTGCAGAAATGCTTCTTAACGTCTTTTTTAAGGACCCCAGATGGCTGGAAGGAGGGAACACGTACGCGGGCAAAGAATTCCACTTACGAATAGTACGACAAAGAAATGAATCACCAAATTTCTTAGGGGGCGTCCATAAATTACGTGAGTTGTTTTTTTGAATTTTCTGTCCCTCTCTCCCCCCCTGGTGACATGTCGTGAGATTTTATTCAACCCCCTCCCCCATCCCCCAATCTCACGTGAGATTTTTCAAAATGTGGGTATCTTCAGTAAATTCGTTGGATTGTTATTGTAATAGTCTAAGATCCGGCTGCAGAATCAGTGTACCCATCGAGTGTTTGCTGAAAACCAAATTTTTACACATATTTATGATTAGGAGAATTTATATCCACCAGGTTGCCTATCAAAATGTGGCCGCTAGTATTTTTAATTAAATTATTAATAATTCATAATCCGTAAGAAATTTCACTGACATGTTTTTTCAATGAAATGTCGTCTATTTTACGGCAATATCTATGAAGACTCTGAAAAATCATGGTTGCCGTTGCGCACCTGGCCGCACCTCTTCGCAGCCAGGTGTACACAGGTATGATTTTGTTACATTTATACACCCACAACGTACATTCATATTTTATAAATCAAATTAAAGCTAATTTTTTTCTGTTCATTATTATATACGGTTGCCTAATTAAATTTGGCCGCAAATAAGGGTTGCTGGCTGTTAAATAAAGAAAATATTAAAAGAAGAGTGAAAGAGAGCTAGCGCGTTACACTACTATTCAGACGAGGATAGCAATTGCCAGCTGTCGGACAGTTTAAAGCCATTGCGCATGCGTCAGATGCTAGTGTTCTCAACGGATCAGTTGCGACTTTTATTCTAAGTTAAAAACCACGCTATTTTGGAGTACGTAATTGCTGTTTCATTTGTGCATCGAAAAATTATCAATCTCATCGGGGTGAAATAAAATTTATGAAGATGAAGGCGTGTTTTTTTGTGCGAAAAAAAAAACAATGTACTAGACTTTGATAATGCTTCATTCAAAAAGTGTTCTCTAATGTTATTGTTTCGTCGTAAGAAAAAATATAAATATCATGACATTTTATTAACACTTGAATCCACCGATGATTTTGGATATCATACAGAGTGTTTGAAAAAAATTACAGTTATATCCATTTACGGATATTATTGATGAATTAAATTACATTTTACGGTACGCCTCAAAATAATAAATACTCCAAGACGTTTCTTTTGGAGTATTTATTATTTTGAGGCGTACCTACTATTGTTTGAATCGGAGGTTGAGAACACTAGCATCTGACGCATGCGCAATGGCTTTAAACTGTCCGACAGCTGGCAATCGCTATCCTCGCCTGAATAGTGGTGTAACGCGCTAGCTCTCTTTCACTCTACTTTTAATGTTTACTTTATTTAACAGCCAGCAACCCTTATTTGCGGCCAGATTTAATTAGGCAACCGTATATAATAATGAACAGAAAAAAATTAGCTTTAATTTGATTTATAAAATATGAATGTACGTTGTGGGTGTATAAATGTAACAAAATCATACCTGTGTACACCTGGCTGCGAAGAGGTGCGGCCAGGTGCGCAACGGCAACCATGATTTTTCAGAGTCTTCATAGATGTTACCGTAAAATAGACGACATTTCATTGAAAAAACATGTCAGTGAAATTTCTTACGGATTATGAATTATTAATAATTTAATTAAAAATACTAGCGGCCACATTTTGATAGGCAACCTGGTAGATATAAATTCTCCTAATCATAAATATGTGAAAAAATTTGGTTTTCAGCAAACACTCGATGGGTACACTGATTCTGCAGCCGGATCTCGTACTATAAAAAGAAAAAAAAATACTTCGTGCTTTTATTTACGACTATTTAAGCCTAGTAATCAATATTACTGAGAGTTACTAGTGAATGATCTTAATCGTATTACAATTACGCTTAAGATTAAATCTTAAGCAGGTACAATCTGGATTAAATGACCAAAACAGTTTTTTTTTGTTTCGTCTAAAAAAAAATTGCGTGATATTTGCCGAGACCCCCCCTCTCTCCAACGTAAGATTAGATGAGATCTGACTCGACCCCCTCCCCTCCTTAAACATCTCACGTAATTTATGGACGCCCCCTTGTCAGTGTAGGAATACTTAACAGTACCCTTAGTACGAGTTTTACAATTAGGAAAACTATGATAGTTTTCGTGAGCTCGCACTCGTACTGAGGGTACTGATTTTATTGTTTTCGTTGCAATACAAATAAACAGTGTTTAAATTCTATCATTAAATCATTTGCGTCTTCTTAAATTTTAAGTATATTTGGTTACATTTCACCAAAGGAAATTTGGACATAGAAACATAATTTACAATTACGAAAACTATGATAGTTTTCGTGAGCACAAACTTGTACCAAGGGTACTGACCTTACAGTTGATAGTGTTAAGGTCGAAGGGCGCCAGCACCCGGAACTTCCTGGTGATCGTCTTGTCCACGGCGTAGGGGATGTCCATGACGGCGTCCACCTCGTAGCGCACGTGGCCCACCGACCCGTCCACCGACGACGGGCAGTTGGGGGGCAGCTGGAAACTGAACGGGTACTCGAACTTGCCGGGATCCAAATGTTTCTCTGCTGCGAACAACAAAAATAAATAATAAAATAGTTTATTTCGTTTATCTTATTTTACAAAATTATTCTGTGGTCAGAACTACCCAGGAAGCGTGTAGTAATGCTTGTGTTGGGCGGGTCTGCTACTCCCTATGATCATATTCTACTCTTAATAATTACATTTTTAAAGGTATAGATATAATTAAATTAAATATGGGTATGTGTGTTTGTGATGTGTGTGTGTGTGTGTGTGTGTGTGTGTGTGTGTGTGTGTGTGTGTGTGTGTGTGTGTGTGCGTGCGTGCGTGTGTGTAGAACCTATATGATAGGACATTCTGTCTCTCCTCTACAATACATAGGTTATTTAGGAGCCGTTGATTGAAACAGTATTTATACGTATATATACTGCCGACCTCCGTGGCCGAGTGGTTTTTACGCCAGGGGGCCAATCGCCTGGCCAACTGGATTGCTTTGGAAAACGCTATCGCTTACGATTTCATTTTGTTATTTCTAGCCCCCTGAGGTTTTCAAATACCTCGCGCTCTTTTTTTTTCTTTTGCATTGGTAATAACAATGTTAAAGAAAATGAGCGTGAGGTATTTCGGCGGTTAGAAATAACAAAATGAAATCGTAAGCGATAGCGTTTTCCAAAGCAATCTGGTTAGGCGATTGGCCCACTGGTGATGAATACGAGCATTTGTACATGGATGGAGTCATGGATGTTAAATATGTATTACCCTGGTATCCCATTACATAAGGCTACAGTGCTTACTTTGGGGCTAGGCTAATTTGGTGTGTTGGAAATATTTATTTATAGTTATTTACATAATCGATTCAATAACTCATATTAAAATACTCGTTTGTGTTGTTCCGAATTCATCCTATGACGTCTTATTCTATTTCCTTACTCAGCCTAGACTAGTATTACTAACGGAACCTATTATATTTGTAAATTCAACTCAAATACTGTTGTTATCCTTCATTGTTAATGGGATATATTTAAATGCACAGCAAATAACTTATTAGGGTAATAATTCAAGTTATTTACAGCAATTAAATACTTTTTACATCAAAATAATAATTTTACTGCAAATAAACCATTTGTTGAACAATACTAGTGCTGAAAATAATTCAAAAATATACATCTAATCTGTAGTAAGTAAAAAAAACTTGTTTAATTGTACAGAAATATGATTTTCATATCAAATATACTGATTGCACAGCAAATATACCGATTGCAAAGAAAATTAACCAGGGCTTCGACGCAAAATACTCACACTTATAACAAAACAACTATTTTTGCAACAACTTTTATATTAAGTATTTCAAAACTTGCTCAACATTGGGACACTTATCATGGTTATAAAAATAATGCGATTGTGCTTATGAGCACACGACTGACGTGAAACTTCTTTAGCTCCAATGATACATACATAAACATTACCTAAAGATTTGCTGATAGAAAAAAAAAAACACCAATCCGTGCTAGGTCCGTTATCACCCTCCAATCCGCACTCGCTCCATATCACCTACCAATCCGCGCTGGGTTCGTTATCACTCACCAATCTGCACTGGGTCCGTTAACATCCACCAATCCGCGCTGGGTCCGTTATCACCCTCCAATCCGCATTGGGTCCATTATTACCCACCAATCCGCGCTGAGTCCGTTATCACCCACCATGCACTAGATTCATGTATTTTGTGCCGGGTATTGTTCATTCTTTACCGATGAGTCACCAATTATTATTATTACTACACTAAAAAGTGGTTCCACCTAAACTGCGTTTATCTTCTTCTCTCGTCTTGTTCTTCCGTCCGTTAGTTTTCATAAAACTTTAACGATGCGATACGATTACGGTACCCCTAGCACGAACCAATATTGAATTCGAATAGTTTGCGACTGCGAAATGTCAAATTTTGCATGGAAACTCGAATAACAGCACCACAACGGACGTAACGAGAATTAAAATCAGTACATATTTGACGTATATCTAGATCGAATTCCATTATTCATATTCGATAATGGTTCGTGCTAAGGGCACAATACGTACCGTAACTCAACCGTTTTCGTGAAATAGATACCTACGACTGAGCCGAGCGCTAGGTTTGGTACCTACAAAACGTAAAACATATTTGTGTAGATTTTTATTGTATGTGTATAGTTACTATTGCCACGTTACGGAATCGAAACGGAGGCAGAAACGCGGGCGGCGCGGCGCGGCGCTGCTAACTTAACTCGGCCAACGACCAGTCGGCGGCGCGCGACGTGGCACTGCGTAGATTTGTCTTGGCAAGATTGGTTAGCGGCCGTGTAAATGACGTTTGTCTGTGTGCGTGCGTCGATTCGGGCGCTAGTATAAAGTCCGAGTACTGCTCTTGTATGTACTGTGCTAAGGGTACGGAGAGCTGTCAAAATTCATGTGTGGGCCTCAGACGTAAGCAGAAGGCCGATGATTATGATGAAAGCAAGTACTCACAATTCTTGCCACCCACGAGCTGCAACCTCAAGCTTATGTACTCTTCATAGGAGCTGTGTTCGACGCTGTAGTGTTCAGTGCGGTCGTTGACCCGCCGGCTATGCTGCGTAGTCCAGCTTACTGAGCAAAAGCCCTTCACAGATAGACTAATGCCTGAAAACAGACATTGGATAAGCTCGTAAATAGAAAATGTACAAAGGCCCAAGCACGAATTTTGACAGCTCCGTAACGTATCATCATCGTCAAATTTTGCATCGAAGATGGCTCGTCCAGTGCCCCTACCGGACGTAAAAACAAATGCCAGTTTGTTCTGACGTCCGCTAGGGGCGCTGCTTAGTATCCATAGAAACTTTAACAATGCGATACGATTACGGTGCTATATTTTAAATTTTTAAGCATTTAACTGCTAGATGCTTTAATCTAAAGACAGCTTTACTACGAAAAAAATGAGAGGCTTTAAAAGTTCGTGCTTGAGCCTCAGGAAGCTGATTGGTTGGTTGATTAACCACAAATCGTCATTTTGTTTTTCGATAGACTGCGAATCGAATCAAGCAATTTGAGCTCTTAAAAACTCAAATAACGTCGGTTAAAAAAGGAATGCAACAATTTCGAAGTAGGCTGCCGTCTGGGATATCTTCGGTATAGTGTCGGGGAAATTCCATATAATAAATAATAAATAAATAAATATTTCCAACACTCACACCAATTAGCCTAGCCCCAAAGTAAGCACTGTAAGGCTTGTGTTATGGGATACTAGGGTAACGGATAGAATACATATATTGTACATATATAAGTATATTTATATGAAATACGTATTAAACATCCATGACTGGAGTACAAATGCTCGTATTCATCACACAAACATCTGCCCCCACCGGGATTCGAACCCGGGACCTCTCGAGTCGGCGACACCATGAAACCCGGCGTACAAACCACTCGGCCACGGAGGTCGTCTATAAGTATATAAGTCACGACCCTTCTCAAATCTCAAGCTTAAATATAAAATGTTGTTTAAGGAAAGGAATGTTAAAGAATACCTACTCCTTGCTGGTGCCGGATCTTCGTGGGTTATTAAGGCTGCTGTATCAACAGAAACATTTTATGTGAAGGTCTGAAGTAAAAATCAGGGAGAGGGCCAAGCACATTCCCTGGGGCCCTTGCAAGAGCCTTGTAAAGTTTGTTTATATTTTCTTCTTGCTTAACGTAACAGACAGACCCGTCTTTCCCAGTGGGCACTGGGCAAGTGCCCAGATCCCCGCAATCGATAGCGGGGCCCCTCAGATCAAATACAAAGTCCCGAGTTCCTGTTAAATCACCAAACGGAAGGCATAGTGGTCCCATTATCCTAATATGCCCAGGGCCTCCAATAAGTCAAAGACGGCACTGGTAACAGAATTTGTCAGCAAGCAGAGTCGGTTTTTTATTTTGTATAATAAGTATTTGTACTAAACTCAGTGAAAGGTCTGGGAAATATCCAGGGATACCGCCCAACAACATATCTTGATTTGAAGACCACTAGTACAGTATAATAAGAATCGCGAATTAGAGCGCATTTTACTTTTTGCCGACAGTATGTGTGAAATGCAAGTCCAGCTTCAGAGACATAAAATTGATAAACACAATGAGTAGGTATTTTCTTCAGTTGTAAAATTACAGCTAGTTCTTTTTAACTCGATTCAACAAGTGTTTAATTGAAAAGAAGATTGAAATGTATTATCCAATAAAATATTTTCTAACCAACGACACGGACTAACAAAGTGTAGGTAATAATAATTAATGGAACACCTTCTTGTAGACCTCAAGGCTATTTTCGGTCAATGAATTATATGTGATATTCGTTCATCATATTCGCCTTTAATCCATGCGTCATAAGGATTATAATACAATGAAGATTTTACACAGCCGCATCTGAATAGTAACACATTTGTCAAATTCACAATGGCAATGTTCATTATGTTGAACTAACCAAGGCCATCGTGAGCTTCCTGATCGTCTATAATTAAACAAAAAAACTACGCTAGTAAAAGCCACACGACATTAATGAAACTTGCTGAGGCGCTTTTAAGCATCGCATACGGTAATTTTTTGTTGCATTTAATTTCTTTGACCTTCCGAAGATTTGCCTCGCGAGGCAGCCTCGGACGTTTGTGCCACGCAATGTTAGCTGCACGACGCCGCCTTGGTGTATATATTTTTTTACATGAGGCTGCCGTGCGCACCTAGCCCTAGCCACGCTGAGGCTGAGCCAGCATAGAGACACTGCGCGAGCCTAACCATAACCAGTTTTAATCAAGACCTTCATCAGGCCGTCCCTCCGGAAAGCTATCGCCACCACTGCCTTTACATATATTAATTCTTCCTCTTATACAAAAACAATGAGGCGTCCTACCTATATTCGCCATATAATTTTATTAAGGCAAGACAATGTTCTTTATTCATGTGGCAAAAGTTTCCGGCGTTCGTCGAACGAGACAAGCAAAACACAACCGTCTCAGGTGGGCGAGGCAAACTTACTGAGACTGAGGCGCTTTGGAGCATCTACAAAATTTCGGCACAGGGCGAGGCTGACCTGACCGACCGAGGATCTGCCTCGCGAGGCTGCTCGCTCAGTCAAGACGCGGCGGTTAGTATTTCCATTTCACAAACGCGTTTGACCCTTGCAAGTTCTCCACTGAAATGAACGGTATTCAGTGAAAAGTGGCGGCAGGCCACTTAACTGGTGTTTGTTACTGTTGGTTAACTGGTGGGCGCCACTAGCGGTTGCGATTGCTGGCTGCCTCTAGTTGCTTGAATGAGTCACTAGTGGTCGCGTTTAAGACTTGCGCCGACGAGGGACGGGGGACGCAGGCAAGAGCCTGTAAAGTTCGCTTACAACTGCATTGTGTAATGCAAACATAACGTGTGATAATTCCTAGAATAAGAGTCCCTTGTCTGCAGAGGCCATTAGTGGCCGCAACTAGTGGCTCAATGTGCGTTTGCACCAAGTGCCTTTATCTAGGAGTAGCGCTTCTACCAAGAGTGGCGTTGGAGGAAATATGATTTCAGAAGCAGTGTCAAAAACAAGCACAAAAACACAATGTAATAGTGCAGTGGCACCTTAAAAATGGGCATCAAAATTAATTGAGTACAAAATATAATTCACATTGTCTCAAACGCAGAGCAGGATTCAAACTGATAGACAAACATTTTTTACTCATTCACACATAAACATATCTATGTCATAAAAATAGGGTTGAACTGATATCAACATCTCTAGTGCTAGAACTACCTATTAGAAGAGAAAATGAATAGAACATTGAAATTGACAGCTTTTCTTTTTATTTTATCCAAAGAGCAAATTTCCAAAAATTTTATAAAAACTTACTACATCACAATACCTACAATGTTTTTAAGAAAATTTTTGATGCACTTATATCAACAGCGAAAACATCAAAAACGCTTAAATGCCACATGGTACTGCTTAAAAATTGTCTTTTACAGTTTTTATTAAATGTTAATTTTTAAGCAGCTCCAAAGTGGTGAATATATATGGAGGGGTAATAATTTATTTCGCAGCCTACCTGGCTATAAAAAGGGATTTTGACATTTTCACTGTTTTGCTTTTAAACTGCCAAATTTAGAATTTCTGTTAGATTTTATTTTAATAGCAGGCTATAAATTAAAGTAAGTAGATATTCAGAATAATTACAGTATCTCAAATTTTTTGACAATATAACAACTAAGAATAAAAATATAATGTCGTTAAAAATAAAGGATGATTTCATTACATCGGTATCGCAAATCGCATTTCCTGTACTGAAAATGTTAATAATAAACACTTTTTGGGTGCAAGTACTAGTCATATTTGGCTGTTTTATTTTACTTACACTGTTATTAATGTATGTTTTTAATAACTTTACCATTACTGTCAGATTTTTTTTAAGAATGAATTGTTTAATGATAATAGTAAAAACGGTACTGTGCATGCATTAGTAGGTACAATGAACAGGAATAGCAGCCGTTGTTGAATTCGCTACAGTTTATTAATACATTATGGTTGTACTAAATGCTTTGTTTAAGTTGTTAAACAGCACCAGTTGAAGTGCTGTTTGAGGTAGAGCGCGATTGCCTTTCAACTATCTTTTGTCAACCCTTTGACTTTACATATATTTTCCTTTCAACTGATGTTTCTCAAATCAAATTAAAATTTACCTAGAAAGTCAGCTCCTTTTGCTCTACCCTAGACCCAGCGCAAGCCAATAATTATAAACAAATGTCATACTGACCTCTAATTTTTATTTTGTTCTGCAATTCGAACTCTAGCCTTCCATTAACAGTTTGGCCGGAAAAGTACGCTCCGGTCGGGCTGTCCAAAATAATGGCACCTTTACCAAACCCCATTATGAATGATTTGATGCAATAACTATGTGAACATAAGTTTAAGCTGTAACAGCATCACAATCCGGAAAAGATTTTTTAATTACAAAAACACATTAATAACAGCAGATATAAAACGCCTTGGTTGGTAACACAGAAAAGTATACACAAGCGGTCAAGCAAGAGGTTTAAGCACTGTAGGCCTACGCCCCCTGCCTGCCTCCCGTACGAAAACGAAACACAAAAGGTTGAAGGTTATGTTATATTGGTATTTGACTTTATGTCCTTGAAGGAAACGAAACGGGAGCGGAGTGCGCATATGGGAGTGCGGCTGGCGGCAGTGAGTAGAGATGTAACGACTCGACTTTTCAAACCGGTTCAAACCGGTTAGAGCACAGACCGAGTTGAATCGGTTAACGTCTTCGTAAACCGGTTTGACCGTGGCATTCGTTCCCGTCGCGCTGCGCGCATGCGCGCCTGTCAATTCTTGTTTTTACCGCCATCCACAAATCGCGCGCAACTCCTGCTTTACCGACCGAACAAAACTTGACCGACTTGAATGAAGCCATAACCGAACCGAAGTGAAACGGTCTCTGGTAGATTTGACTGATTCGATGGTGTAGTTTTGTTTTAGATTTTATTTTTTAGATGAAAAGTTTTTAATTAAGTTGTTTGTAGCAAGTTAAGTTTCTAATGATTTTACTAATTTATGCGTTACGTATTTATTATATTGTTGATTATTATAATTATATTTTTTCTCAAAGTTAATAAGTACGGTTTTAAGTACTTGATAGAGGGGTTAATATAATTATAGTAATTTTTTAAACACGGTATTACATAGATATCTGATTTAAATATTTTTTATTATTTTGACATTTTTAATTCTTATTATTATTATTTCTTTTCATATTTTAATAGGCTAGTTGACCCTTTTTGGAAAAAGGTTTTAAATGGTTAATAAATGTTCTATTAGACCGAAAAAAATGTATTGTATTTTTTTGAGACCTAGAAAGCTACAAATCTTTAATTTTAAAATAGACTTTTCATGGACATACAGAAACGCTGCCGGCCATTTTAGTCTATAGATTATCTATGCTATGACGTTGACAGTAGTAAACAAAAACTCGTAAGCACGTAAAAAATAACCCATCTGAGTTTATAATAAAAAGAAAACATGATTTCTAATAGATACCACGAACAATATAGTAATTATTATTATTATATTGTACGAGAATGTAAAAAAAAAATCTTTGAAGACTCCAGGAAAGTTGTGGATTAAAGTGCCGAAAGAAATTAACCTACGCAATGATGTCGATTCTGGCATGATTCTCTAAAGCTAAACCTAAATTTGACAACAGTGCATACTTGTCAATCTCTATACAGAATGAAAAGGAGAGACTGATGTTAAATTTAGTTTTAAGTTTAGAGAATCACGCCAGAATCGACACCAATGGTGTCAATTCTGACACGATTCTCTAAACCTAAACTTAAATTTGACAACAGTGTATCCTTGTCATTCTCTATACGGAATGAAAAGGAGAGATTGATGTTAAATTTAGTTTTAAGTTTAGAGAATCACGCCAGAATCGACACCACTATCTGGTTAGAACTTGCTAAAAGGGATCCTGCAACTTTAACGACTCATAGTAAAATTTATTTTTGCGAAGATCACTTTGATGTAAATACTCACTGAATAATATTTTAAGTCTCTTCATTTATTATCAGTTTTAATAATACAAGTTTTAAAGTTATGTATGAATGACACTGGTGTCGATTCTGGCGTGATTCTCTAAACTTAAAACTAAATTTATAATCTTTCTGTTCTTTTCATTCTGTAAAGAGAATGACAAGGCTACACTGTTGTCAGATTTAAGTTTAGGTTTAGAGAACCGTGCCAGAATCGACACCATTTAGTTGTTTACTAAAACAGACGTCACAATCATGGCGGATGTGGCGAACAGCGTTTTTAGTGTTTAAAAAGTATAGACTAAAAATTGTTTTTTTAAATTAAATTTCTACAGCAATCTTCTGCTTTTATGAAGTGAAATCGATATATTTAGGTTCCTTAGACAAAATACTTTTAGAAATAAACATTTACTTAATACAATTCGACATGAGTCAACTAGCCTTTTTATATGCACGTTATAATATCAACAAAATATGTAGAATTAAAAAAAATAACACCTGTTGTTTCATTCGTCAACTCGTCAAACGGTTCAAACCGGTTCAAACCGCGGTTTACTGAAAATTGGCGGTTCGGTTCGAAAACCGATTTGCATGTATTGCTAACCGATTCAATCCGGTTTGTCAAAATTCAAGACCGTTACATCGCTAGCAGTGAGGGCAGAGGCGGAGTGGGTGGAGTTTTTTTTTTTGTTAAGTTCTCCCTTTTCAAGGAAGGCAAGGAGAACAGTACCCATACAGCCTAGTCTTAAGTTAAATTATTCTGTTTTTCTTTTTACATTAGAATGTCGGTGTGACGCATTCTAATGTTTCTTGAAGTGTTTGGCACGAAATGTATCGAGCTGGCTTTTTCGATAAGCTTCTGTGAGGTAGTCAATACTACAATAAAATTCTCACGTCCACTTGGCCGGAATAGCGTATATTTTGACGATTCTACTAATTCTTCAGTTACGCAGACAGTTGTAACACAAAATCACACCAATTTTATTTCACAATATCTACTATGAACGAATTTAAGAATAATTAAAATAAGACGCCAACCACACTCGATGAAATCCCGCCAAAAAAAAAACTTTTTTTTTAACAGAAAATGACATAGCCAGGATACAAGTTCATAAAGCCGAACACATAGTACAAATACAAACTTCAATAAAAAGTGGGTGGAGTTCAAAACAGTGTGACCAAAATAAATTTTACGAAAATACCTAAGCACCTAAAAATAATACTGAAATATACCACTTAAACAGAGAAAATATACCAATAAAAATACTGTTTAATTTCTTTAGATTTAAACATCAAGCAGTTACATTATTGCTTTAAATAAAAATAAAAAATGGGTGCGTGTACTTATGTAGGCGCGTGAGAAGTTATCCTTCTTTGGCATCGTTTAAAATTAGTTTTTAAAACTAATTTTAAACGATGCCATGCAAATTGCATTTGCATCATCATGCATTGCATGCAAATAATTAATTACAATAAATTAATAAAAAGTCTGGAAAAGGACACAGTCAATAAAGTTCAGTTTTAATTTGAAAAAATTAATAAATAATCAAAATATTCAATTAAAATCGCTACTGAATATAATTTATTAGAACATATGTGATTTGCACTTGTATGAAACTCAAACACGTATTCCGAATATACAAACTAGAAACATGTGGATAAATATTATAAATATGAATACCTATAACTGTTACTTTATTACAAAAAATAAAGATGTGGTTTTTGGTTCTACTACACCAATGGTCAAGAGATGGCGCTGTAGTCTCCTGAATCGCGCTTTGGTTCCGTTGTTCCAGATTAATAAATACTTTTGATAGGCCTTTACAATGCAGTCGTTAGCACCCACTAAATAGAGATTCTATTTCTATTTTGTTGGTAGATTTTCTTAATGTGCTAACACAAAAGTTGTTCATGCTGTTAATTTTTGTGTTACAGTGATGCGCGCGCATCTTAAAATTTCACTCTCATCATTTTTTCATAACGCGCCTAAAGAAGTATAACTTCAAAAATTATAACTATAATTGCTATTTATTCTTTCAAATGTTTAATACTTGTAAAAGTATTCATTTGACATTGTGGGTTACCTATAATGCGAAGAAATGCGCTGCCTTGCAGCTTAAGAATGGCTAGAGGAATTTCGACGCGGTCCGTGAGGGCCGCGGTAGCATAATTGGTCAGTGCATTCGCCCGGATTGCGAAGGGACGGGACTTGAACCCGCACGGTTCAAGTCCCGTCTGCTGCCTGGTCCGCGTGGAATTTTTTCTAGTTATATTTTCTTTAGATTTAAACATCAAGCAGATACGTGCTTTAAAAAAATAAAAAAAAAATATAGAAATACTGTTTTTAAAATTAAATTAAAATATATTTTATTTAAGTATAAAACTGTTTCTTTGAAACCCTTCTTTTTTATTTTTTTGTCTGCGAAAAATTTGGACTCGCAGGCTACATGTGATACTGGTAAACATTTTAACTTACTGAAACTAGTCATATTTTGGAGTGTACTCCTTAAGAATCGATTTGCATATATAAGGGGCCCGGTATGAAAAAAAATTGAGGAGTAAAATCTATCGATGAATGACCTCGTTACGTTTTTGGTGCGCATCCTATGTCGCGCAACTTTGGCAAACAAAGATGACGGATTGACATTAATATTTTTTTTTAAATCTGAACTGAATTTAGACATTATTTGTGATAGAGCAATGGGGACAACGAGGTATGGTACAACCATTGATGCGGTATTTTCTAGATTCGTGAACCACGTATCTACGAACGTCCATGTGTCTTATTTTAGTTACCATAAACCACTTGTCACTGTAATTAATATTGCAGACAATGTTGATTTAATTAATATTTAAAAAAATGATAATAGTCTGGTAATAATAATTACATAATTTATCAACATTCCTAATGATATATTTATGCACATCCGAAATTGACTATTGCAAAAGTTTAATGCAAAATATTTCGTCGATTAGTTATAATAAATATATATGAAATGAATAAATATATACGTATATTATTTTCATTAATTTGTTAATTTACCCTTTTATACAGTATCAATCTTTTTTAAGTTAAATAAACTCTTTTTGCGTCTGGTTAGACTATCGAACTTAAGGAGTAAACTCCAGTCGTGCGTCGGAGCTGACACACACAATTTTTTTCTATTTAAACCTATTACATACTACACATTCTACTATTAAATAGAGTATGTAGTATGTAATATGTTAAAATAATATTAATTATAAATGTTATATGTTACAAACATAGCCTCAAGTACTCAAGTCCCGCAATATGATATAGAACGCGTTTTTTTCAGTTGTCAAATTACTATGGAGTTTGACAGTTAGAAGCGATAAAAACTGTGATATTATGGAAATTGTAGTGCTCATGCTACGGGGACTGGATTGAGACATAGGATACCTTTTATCCCAGAAAAATGTTAACTTCCAGTGGGATTTTTAAGGAACTAAAGTTAACTCTTAGATGATTCTATACTATTGTTGTAATAGTTACAGACAAGACATGACAGAAAGCCCTGTCATGCCCTATCTCTAACTTTCTGACCACTGATGTCACTGATCCTAAACGAATTCCTTTAAACGAATCCTTTTAAAGACTTAAAAGCTAAG